ATGTTAAATATTGTTCGTTCTAACCCATGAATGGACTGAACTGTCTTGTAATCTTTGACAGTTCATGAGAAACTTGAGTTATTTCGCAACAGAACACATAAACTCTCTTTTCGTTAATTCACTAAATGTATGCTATTAAGGACTGTTCTGAAAAATTTTTCTCAGGGAAAGCTTTTCGTAATTAATTTTCATAGGGATTTGGGATCGAAATCGTCGATCTGTACAATAATCCATAGATTCTATTACATCCGGCTGATTAGATATCGGGGTACATTTAGCTGGTGAGCCCTAAATTTGACGAAACGTGCTTCTTAGATTCTTCTCCATTGCTAGTCATATTCTAGGTATTTATTAATATGACCTTTATGTTCTTCATTGCTTAGCCACTATCTGTTAAGTGAACAAATATCTCTTATTTTTTTCTAACCTGTACATTACTTTCATCCTCTAACCTCTTCGTCATAATGTACCCTTCTGTTGGTGTTTAAAATCTCAAACTGCTTTCCATCTATAGACTAATAGTTTTATCAAACAACTATAAACTACAGATTTACAGCAAACATAATTAAGAATTCACCAAATAGAATGATCTTCTTCACTGAAATGGCTTCACTTGTTAATAATTACTAATATTATTGGTTTATCTCTTATGAATAATGCTTCTTCTGATATGAATTCAGATATCTTAAAAGAAAATTTAAATTCATCAGTATCTTTTAATTTTAAACTGTTATAATCTCTCTTTCTGAGTAGTTTGATCCGGTGAAATCAATCCATGTAACTTTGTGTATATGTATGTGTGGGAATACTGTGCCTCCGATGATCGGTTTGTTGAAGGCAAATAGGTTTGCAAATCTCTCAGATACACTGAGGAAAGTACCCAACTTTGTCAAAAGCCCTCACTTGGAACCCTCATGGTCAAAGGAAAACAGGAAGGCGAAGAAAGAGAAATTACGCTGCGAAAGGGAGGTAGACAATGAGAAGAATAATCAATCTGAATGTTGGTTAGATTCAAAGTCAATTTTTCGGCTATAAGTGCTTAATAAGCTTTATTAGGGAACAAATAAAACCTCCTGAGTGAATTACGCTTCAGTGAGAAGTGGAGTGTTAGATTTAAGTAAAAGAAATAAATCGACAAGGCTGTCGTCCATTGTAGATTGACAAACGCATTAAGAATGGAAATTGTTTAATCATCATGATATCACATGATGAATAAGCTTAAAAGGAAGTTGACCACTTCACATAACTTGGGATTTGTATCAGTCCTGATGGCCTTGTATGTGACAAAGTCTCAGCACGGATGAAGAAAGATCGACGAGTATTTGCCAACCAATGTGATTTATGGCTTAGGCAAGATATCCATCTACATACCAAATGACGTGTTTACTGCGCAGCAGTTCGCTCCATCCAACATTATGGCTATGAAACATGGCCGGTAAGAGTAGATGATATTCATAGGTTACTGGTTTTCGACCACAGATGTGTTCGAAGCATTGCTCGTATATCCTGGAACCACCTAGTATGCAACACTGTTGTTAGGAAACGGATACTAGGTAAGGATGGCAAATAAGTTGATGAAGTAGCGAATCTTGAGTTGGTTGGGAAATGTGTTATGTATGCCCAAATACCGACTGCCAAACCAAAAACACGGCACAAATCCATTAAGTCACTGACAATTGAATTAAGTCATGTTGGTAGGTGCAAACTACCACGTTTGAGACCGCCAAATGATAGTAACCGATTTTACAGACCTTGAACATGGCTCAAGATTGTTTGAATGGCGCAGGCGCATCTACTCTTTGTGTGCTCTTAAATTCTTATGCCCTGAATTTCCGGTCACTATCTTTCTTTCTTTTTAGAATTTATTTCACTGGATTACTATACTTCTTGAGTAATTTCTTCGAACCCTAATTTTCTCTATCACAGATAAATAATACTTCTAGTACCTCTACTGCTATGGGATTTAAATTGACAATTCGATCTGTATGTGTGGTGATGTGGTATGGCAATTGGAACTGATGTACGTACCTACGGGGTTCTGCGTTGTAGTTCACCGACCGATTGTAATAAATTCATAGTTTATACAATACCTGTTTAACAACCTCCTTGGGTACATCCCTAACAGTCAAACATTTCTAGTCAGCTTTCTTTTCACAAATCTATCAAGAATTTTGCAGAAATTTGTTTCAAGTTTTTCGTTTCACACCGTCATTTCAGTCTGCCACTAGTGCGTCTCAAAAATCCCTCCTACTTGCATTTTTGATCTTGAATAGTGTCCGTATACTACTACCGGACGAATTTAAGTAGTATGAAGTATTCTGTGACAAAGCAATGCTTGACTAAATAGTTTTATTCTATTCCTATTGTTGCTAAATATATTCATTATTAAGTTAAGCAATCTATGTTATTCCCAGGTAAATGTTGGTATCCTGTTAATGTGAAGAACATGATATTTCTCAGCACGTATTGAAAATATTAAGTTGTATTTAGTATCATAACAAACACAGGAGAAGAAGATCAGTATAGCAATAGCCTTTGTGTAGTAGTAGATCTCAGAATACACAAAGGAAAAAGCAATATCCTCCGATACAACAAAATATGAAACAATCAAATTAAACTTGATGGGGAAGGATTGAAAACCATCACATACCTGAGTAGCGTAATCGACAAATAAGATGGTTCTGATGGCAAGTGACGACACGGATTAGCAAAACAAGGACTTCTTTTCTACAACCGACACCAAAGTCACAATTCTTGATATGAAAATCTGCTATAATTATCTCTTTATTACAACCCAGCTATTCCTAATGTTTGGTATTCTCGGACACCAGTTCATTCAAGATGTTCTCCTGAATCCCACGCGTAGCTGCTACCTTGACGTGGTGGTTGGGCTTGCCTATCATGATGACCCAACCCAGCTATATTAGTTGAAACATATGTTCCTGAAGGTTCTACCATGCCAGGCAGGTCGATTGGAGAACGATCAGACTGAAAGCAGCTACTCAACGTCTGAGGGCGAAGTCGTACTTCTGACTGCAGAGGGGTGTGACAGCAGTAAGGTGTTTCATTCGGACAACCAGCATCTGCAGTGATGCTGCTTTCTCACAAGGAAGGATTGGTTAGAAAATGTCGACCCTAAAAATGTCACACCTCACCCGACCTCACGAATTTCCATCTCCTTGGGTAAGGGTGCCCACTAGGGGCTATAAAGAGCGGAGCTAATACTCAAAATACTTCTCATAAAAAGGCCGTGAATGGCCGGCCTCAAGCAGTTGTCTCTTGGGCTCTGTGGTCACGCACCCAAGTCTCCAATATCAACACTGATCTCAGAAACGCGCATACAGGATCCGAGTAGCGTCATTCATTTGACCACACCATGTCAAGATAAAGAAGCGACTCAATTTACCCTTCGTGTTTCCGGTAGCCTATTTGTCGTATCTGCCTACGCCCCCACTGACTGCAGTGCAGACGAGGTTAAAGATGAGTTTTACAGAAAGCTTTCGGACCTCCTCCAAAAAGCTAGGCGCTCTGATATAGTGACTTTTATGCTCAAGTAGGTAAACTAAGTGAAAATGAAAGACACCTAGGTGGATGTTATGGTGTCGCGGCTCAGAGAATAGACAATGGTGACCGTCTGTTGCAAGTATGCTCAGATATCTGCCTATTCTTAGCAAACACTAACTTCAGGCATAAGGAAAAGCATCTCTTGACATGGCAATCCCAAAAGTCGTCACAACGCTGGACCCAACTAGATCACATTGACATCAGCCACCGATAGAGAGGTTCAATAGAAGACTGTCGCTCGTTCTGGAGCACATGTTCATATTCAGATCATGATCTAGTGCGAGCGCGTATTTGTTTACGACTTACTGGACGTAGGAAAAATACCGCCAGAAGACCTCTCAGGGCTCTAACTAATGATAGCAGAGCTAAGAATATATTCCAGGAGCAACTAGAAAAACAGTTAGGCGACCGTGAAAGTCATTCCCATCCAGAGGTAGTTTGGAATGATATCAAAAAGCTGTGGAAATGGCGGCGATATCTACTCTTTAGGTAAACCATAAGGCTAGGAAGAAGCCGTGGATCTCAGTAGCATCTACCGAACTGATGGAAGCTCGAAAAATCATCCCACCTGGCTGTGAACATGATGAAGAGCGAAGTCAGCTTAAGTGCAGGCTGATAAAAAGCCTACGCAACGACCGCGAACTGGTGAGTGGCGAAAGCGAGCGAGATGGAAAAGGCAGCGGCGATAGGCAACAGTAGACAGTTGTTCCGACCTATAGAAGAAACCGATATTAGGATTCCGAATGTGAGTAAAACTATCTCGGCAAAGGTTGGAATTATTATTCATTCTGACGAAATCTCAGCACGGATACAGAAGTCTCGATTGGCTTTTGCCAACTTGCGTAACTTATGGTGCAGGCGAGATATCCGTTTGCTGACTAAAGGACGAGAGTACTGCGCAGTAGTTCGATCCGTCCTACATTATGGCTGTGAAACATGGCCGGTAAGAGTAGAAGATATTCGTAGGTTACTAGTTTTCGACCACAGATATCTTCAAAGCATTGCTCGTGTATCATAAGACAACGGAGTAAGCAATACTGCCATTAGGAAACGAGTTCTAGGTAAGGATGGCTGGTCATTAGATGAAGTACTGAATCTTCATCTGTTGAGATGGTTGGAACATGTGTTGCGTATGGCTAACCACCGACTACCTCGACTAGTTATGTTTTGTAGTGTAGGCTTAGGCTGGAAGAAAGTTTGTAGAATACACATTTTCTACGCTTTATCAAGACTACTTTATCTAGTTAGCCGGGCCAGAGACAAATGAATGAGAATAGTCTATCATGTCACTGCATCATTTGTCTTTACTCACATTTACCGAGAGTTAGGTGAACACGTAATAGCAGCATTCAAGCATATCATTTGCTTATAGACATGTGTTGTAAACGCGGCTACGTAAATCTTCAGTCCTAACGGCGTCCAATTCAAATATCACAAAACGACCCAAAGGCTTTCCCAAATCTCCTAGAAATCAGAACGTAACACCGTGGCAGGAAGATGTTTATTGGGTCGTAAACAGAAGAAGTAGGCAGGGGAAACGGAATTATTGAGTCTTCCAGATAGCGCGTATTTATACACTAAGGTCGAATAAGAAAAAGCATCAACGTCCGTGACATTGACAATTTAGGACGACCAATAGAAAAGAACATTTGAATGACATTGACCGTCCAGATGACCAATAAGAGGTAACATTGAAGTATTTGACCCTGACGGTAAGAACGATCAAAATTTCGGCCAATAGAATTCGACCAATAGGATTGCAGTTCTAAAAATAGTATTCTTAGGATATTTGGTGAATATCCTAACAACATGTTACAATATTATCGAATAACTAATCAAGTAGATTAAAAATAAAATATTCTATTCCAATATACACATGAATTGAATGACATGAAAGAAAAACAAAACCGAACAGACAAAATACAAAACACATCAGAGATTTCTATATATTTACAAATCTGTTTCTATCATTATTATTTACAACAGAGGAAAGAATACATATTGACCACAAACAAAAACAGAGAATTTTTATTCATACAAATCAAAATCAATACGTGTAATATGATAAAATTGTCCATTGGATTTTGTTGTTGATTCACGTAATAAAACATGATTACAATCATCTTGATTGAATGTACCATCTTGAAGCCATACTTTTATTTGTTCCGTAGTATACGGTCCTTCAATCTTTGTGTTCGGTTTATTTGAACGTTTTAAATGCCACATAATTGTGGTTGTGGTTGTAGTTGTGTCATTGTGATGATGTTGATGTTGATGATGAGTATGATTATGATCATTAGTAACAGTATCATGTTTGTCAGTTGATTTGATTATTTCATCTAATTTAAATGATAAAGATATTTAAGAGAATTGGAATTTAAAAAATTATACAAATTGTGATTAGTTGGAAAATGAATTATACAAAACGAATTGGAAGAAAATTTAAAAAAGAGAAATTCACTACAGTGTATGATTATGTCAATTTAGTGAAGTAATTTTGGAGTATTATCAGGACAGAATAGGTTGAAGAATCAACTGATCGGCAGCCTGTGCTCCATTCAGTGTAACAGGCGAATGTCAATCAATCAACCAATCAATCAACAACATAGAACTTCGTACGTACGTACGTACGTACATAAATTGAAGTTTCCATACCAATCCAATAGTAGTAGAGATAGTTCAAGTATTAGCAGTAATTGGAGAGATTAGGATTTGACGATATTATTCAAGAAGTAGAATGTAGTGAAACATACGTAAAAGAAAAAAAGGTGATGAGGAATTAAAAAGTTTAGGAATTGAGAGAACACAAAGAATGAATGCGCCTGCGCCATTGGAAACGGTTTTGAGCCATATCATTTAGAGTCTCTCTAACCATCAGTTACTATCATCTCGCGGACCCCAACCAGGTAGTCTACATCTACCAACATGACTCAGTCCACTTGTCAGTGACTTCATGGATTTCTGCCATGTTTTGGTCTGGCCGCCCCTAACTTTCTTCCAACCTACTCCTACACCACAAAACATAGCTCGTCGGGGCAGTCGGTGGTTAGCCATACGTAACACATGTCCCAACCACCTCAACTGATGAAGTTTCACCACTTCATCGATCGATCTGCCATCCTTACCTAGTACTCGTTTCCTAACGACAGCATTGCTTACTCGGCTGTCCCACGATATACGAGCAATGCTTCTTAAACATCTATGATCGAATACTAGTAACCTACGAACATCTTCTACTCTTAACGGCCATGTTTCACAGCCATATAAGAGAACGGAACGAACTGCTGCGCAGTACACCCGCCCTTTGGTTAGCGAACGGATATCACGCCTACGCCATAAGTGACGCAGGTTGGCAAAAGCCAATCGAGCTTTCTGTATCCGAGCTGAGATTTCGGCAGTCACTAGGCCATCGGCAATGATGAGACTCCCAATATAAGTGAAGCGGTCGACACGCTCGACTACTTCACTCCCTATCACTAGTTCAGGTGCCAATGCAACCCAGTCTTGAAGCAACATTTTGCATTTCGAGGGTGAAAACCGCATCCCGAACATGCTCGCATTGTTGCTTATGGTAGTCAGAAGACTCTGCATTTTGTCAGCGTCTTCACCGAATAGAACTATGTCATCGGCATATTCTAGATCAGTAAGCGAGCCACCTGGTAGAAGGTCAACCCCTGAAAAATCTGACGAGCTTAATGTTAACTCTAAGAGGATGTCTACGACAAAGTTGAACAAGAATGGAGAGAGTGGACAGCCCTGACGGACACCACTTGATGTAGAGAGTTCAGATGACAGTTCGCGATATGCTCTCACCCGACCAGTGGTGTTCGAGTAGAGTGCTTGTATAAGGTTAATGTACTTATTTGGTACACCTTTCAATGACAGACACTGCCACAGAACCTCACGATCCACTGAGTCGAATGCCGCCTTAAGGTCCAGGAACACGACTATTGTCGGACGTCTAAATGTGTGTCTGTGTTCCAGGACCTGTCGCAGTGTGAAGATGTGGTCTATACAACCACGTCCAGGTCGAAAACCAGACTGGTTTTCTCGAGTCTGCTCTTCACGAGCTCTAGTTAGACGTCTAAGTATAATCGAGGCTAACAATTTAGAAACTATATTAGTTAGACTTATTCCCCTGTGATTGTCACAAGAGGACTTCTGTCCTTTCTTGTAGATTGGGACAATTAGCGACTGAGACCAGTCAGATGGGATTACGTCCATTTCCCAGATTATACCTAGGATCTCGGTCAGTCTAACCGTTAAAATTGGACCACCATACTTAAACATCTCAGGGGTAAGCCTATCGGGACCTGCCGCTCTACCTCCCCTTAGATTTCCTATAGCTTTCTCAACTTCATGTAAACTGGGAGGACTTAAATCGATTTGCCATTCAGGATGACTGGAGATCGTGGGCAACCGAAGTGTGGCTGAAGGCCAGTTGAACTGATCCCTAAAGTGTTCTGTCCATCGGTCCAGCCTCCTAGATTGAGAATGGATAATAAGACCATCCTTTTCCGAGATAGTCTCACTCACATTCGGGTTCCTAATACCGGTTTCTTTAATAAGGCGGAAAAGTTGTCTACTGTTGCCGATCGCCGCTGCCTTTTCCATCGCTTTTGCTTTCGCCACCCACCACTGTTCACGGTCGTTACGTAGGCTTTTTATAAGTCTGCGCCTAAGCTGACTACGCTCCTCATCATGTTCAGAGTCAGGTGGGATGCGTTTTCGAGCATCCATCAGTTCGGTGGATGCGACTGATATCCACGGCTTCATCCTAGCCTTGTGGTTTACCTTGCTAGCAGATACCATTGCTGTTTCCACAGCCTTCTTGATATGATTCCAACCTGCTTCAGGATGGGAATCACTTGCATGGCCGCCTAACTGTTTTTCTAGTTCCTCCTGAAATATTTTCTTAGCTTGATTATCATCAAGTGAAGCCCTAAGAGGCTTTCTTACGGTGTCTTTCCTACGTCCAGCAAGCCTCAAACAAATACGTGCTCGCACTAGGGCATGATCTGAATCTAAACATGTGCCCCAGAACGAGCGACAGTCCTCTATCGAACCCCTCCATCGGTGGCTGATGGCGATATGATCTAGGTGTGTCCAACGTTGAGACGACTTCGGGGGTCGCCAGGTCAACAGATGCTTTTTTTTATGCCTAGTCTACCTACTTGAGCATTAAAGTCACCAGCCATTATTACTATATCAGAGCGACTAGCTTTTTGGAGGAGGTCCGAAAGCTTTCTGTAAAACTCATCTTTAACCTCGTCTGGACTGCAGTCAGTGGGGGCATAGGCAGATATGACGAAGAGGCAACGGCGAGTGTCCCTATCTTTCCGAGTCCTTACTGTCCCGTTCAGTCGGACGGCGCACAAGCGACTATCTACAGGGATCCAGTCAATGAGAGATCGTTCTGCCCTACGACTCAATGCTATACCTACACCGGCGAGGCCCCTAGAAGCAGCATCAGGGCTACCGGATACACGAAGGGTAAATCGAGCTGCTTCTTTATCTTGACATGGTGAGGTCAAATGAGTGATGCTACTCGGATCCTGTATGCGCGTTTCCGAGACGCAGCACACATCGATGGCACGAGATTCTAAAGTCCTAGCTAATGATGCCTGTTGCCCTATTTGACACAATGTCCGTACATTGAATGCTCCAACATGTAGTTTGGAACGGGGTTTAAGGAGACCAGGAACGACGTTTCGCAAACTCGCATCGTTTGCATTAGCTGTGCACTGTAATAAATGAATGTGAGAAGAGTTAGTTGTGGAGATAAGAGAGGTATTACGGAATGTAGGAAGGATTTGATTTTGAACAATTTGGTCTCGTGTGCTGTTACGGGTATGAGGGCGCTTATCACTTCCCGGCTGCCCACACTGTGGAAGGTTGTTTCTTGACGAACCTGAAAAGGAAGATGGATTAGTGTTGGTGCGTGACCGCAGGGTCCAAGGGACAACTGCTTCAGGCCGGTCACGCACGGCCTTTTTATGAAATGTATTTAGAGGATTAGCTCTCTTCTTAAAGGCCCTTAGTGGGCACCCTTACCCAAAGAGACGGAAATCCGTGAGGTCGGGTGAGGTGTGACATTTTTAGGGTCGACCTTTTCTAACCCTTCCTTCCTTGTGAGAAGGCAGCATCGCTGCAGATGCTGGTTGTCCGAGGGAAACACCTTACTGCTGTCACACCCCTCTGCAGTCAGCAGTACGACTGCGCCCTCAGACCTTGAGTAGCTGCTTTTAGTCTCATCGTTCTCCAATCGACCTGCCTGGCATGGTAGGACCTGCAGGAACATGTGTTCCAGCCAGTATAGCTCGGTTGGGTCATCACGATAGGCAAGCCCGACCACCACGTCAAGGTAGCAGCTTCGGTCGGGACGGGCGGCCAAACCAAAACATGGCACAAATCCATGACGTCACTGACAGCTAGACCAAGCCATGTTGGCAAATGTCAACTACCTGGTTGAGGTCCGCAAGATGGTAGTAGTCGATGATTATAGATCCTGAATGACATGGCTCAAAACCGTTTGCAATGACGCAGATGCATTCATCCTTTGTTTCCCCTTCAAATTCTAATCTTCTAAATTCCTCCTCAACTCTATCTTTTCCTTTCTAAATTCAGTTCATTCAATTATACTACTCAAATCAGATCGTCGAACCTTAATCTCTCCGATTGCTGCTACTACTTCTGCAACCAGCAGTACTGTGGGCATTGAATCGACATTTGTATATCTCAGTGCTAATGCGGTATAGCGACCTGCACTGATGTACATACGTACGAAGTTCTGTGTTGTATCTGTCTGCCGAACTGACTGACAACAAAATATTATTGAAAGCTTATTTTCATTCTTTTCGAAACCACGAATCGATCAATGTTAGACCACCATTAGAAACCTGCAAGCACTGGAAGACGGCCGTTTCGTCCTGGTATGGGACTCCTCAGCAGTGCGCATCCACGACTCCTGCATCCCACAGGGTTCGAACCCGAGACTTGATTTCACACAAAATATTAAATACTACTGACAGTTCAACCTGTTCGGGTGTAGACAGTAACTACCGAAGACTGTGTATGAGGTTGCGCAACTCCATGAATCGATCAAGTTAGACAATAACACCGTTAGATACCGGCTCAGTGGTTCGACGGTTAGGCGATCGCCTACAATACCGAAGATCCTGAGTTCGAATCCTGCGGGGTGCAGGAGTCGTGGATGCGGACTGCCAAACAGTCTCTCATACCAAGACGAAATGGCCATCCAGTGCTTCCAGTTATTCTAATGGTGGTCCAACATTGATCGATTCATGGTTTCAAAAAAAAAAACTTAACAATCTTCACAACCCCGTAATGCAGTTTATTTTCAAACTGAAATACTCAACAAACAAACCTTTATTGTTTGTTTGTTTTTCATCGAATTCTTGACCGAGAACATCAAGTTCATCGTCTGCTTCATATTGTTTTGTACATTCAATCAATTTTTTGATATCATCAAATGTTTTTTGATAAACATCAAAATCTCCACCTTGAACAAGTTGATCAGCTAATTCAGTGACACGAATTAATCCTTCTGGATTACCACTGTTAGTTTGTTTGTTCGAATAAACAAACAAAAAATAAAACGGATTGGTTTATAACAACAACTTCAAATAATTTAAATTTTTTATTTTAAAAAAAAACAGTATAAGTGAGGTTAGTTCCTTTTTCTTATTATTCACAAAAAGATAATGTAAATTTTGCATTGTAGTAGTATTACTACGGACAAGGTTGTTTGTACACATTGAAATTATGAATGAATCAGTGTTAGACCAGCATTAGTAAACCTGGAAGCATTAGATCATGAGATTGATCAGAGTTTAACATCAAAACCGTTGGATACTAGTTTAATAGTCCAAAGGCTTAGCGCGTTCGACGGCAAGAATGAAAGCTCTAGGTTCGAATGCTGCGAGTAGCAAGAGTCGTGGATGCGCACTGCTAACCAGAACGAAATAGCCATCCAGTGCTTCTAGGTTTTGAATGGTGGTCTAACAATGATTGATTCATGATTTAAATGTGTACAAATGTAAGTAAAAACATCATGTATGAATTTAGGTTCAGTGTATTGTATTCCACAAGTAAGAAAACTACGATAAACTTATCAAATTTTATTATTGAAACAATGAGAAAGTGATCACAATTAACAGTGTTTCAGGCTTGATTTGTGTGTCTTAAAACAATATTGTTCAAGTTCACATTTTGCCTTTCCCTATGGATTTTTAAAAATTATTCATACTTATAATTATTCTTTTCGGCAAAGTAAAGACAAGATTTATACAACTGAACAACATCTGGAACTCAAAACAACTATCAATCAACACTAAAGTCACAATTTTTAATACAAATGTCAAGACAGTTCTACTGTATGGAGTGGAATCTTCGAGAACCACGAAAGGCATCATCCAGAAGAAACAAGTATTTATTAACAGTTATCTACACAAAATAATTCGGATTCGCTGGTCAGACGACATCAGCCAATTAGATCGTCAACATCAGGCTTAACTCTCGGACACCAGTTCATTCAAGATGTTCTCCAGAATCCCACGCGTAGCTGCTACCTTGATGTGGTGGTTGGGCTTGCCTATCATGATGACTCAACCGAGCTATACTGGCTGGAATGTATGTTCCTGGAGGTTCTGCCATGCCAGACAGGTCGATTGGAGAACGATCAGACTAAAAGCAGCTACTCAACGTCCGAGGGCGAAGTCGTACTGCTGACTGCAGAGGCGTGTGATATCAGTAAGGTGTTTCCCTCGGACAACCAGCATCTGCAGTGATGCTGCTTTCTCACAAGGAAGGAAGGATTAGAAAAGGTCGACCCTAAAAATGTCACACCTCACCCGACCTCACGGATTTCCGTCTCTTTGGGTAAGGGTGCCCACTAAGGGCCTTTAAGAAGAGAGCTAATCCTCTAAATACATTTCATAAAAAGGCCGTGCGTGAACGGCCTCAAGCAGTTGTCCCTTGGACTCTGTGGTCACGTACCCAGGTCTCTAAGACCAACACTAATCTATTTTCGTTTTCAGGTTCCTCAAGAAACAACCTTCCACGGTGTGGGCAGCCGGGAAGTGACAACCGCCCTCATACTTGTAACAGCACGAGAGACCAAATCGGTCTCTCTGTCTTACTCTCCAATATACATCAGTATTTATAATAAAAAATGTTAGAACCAATCAAGGCAATTTGATTCAATAATAACTAACTCCACCTGGAGCCCTTCTAGGGTTATTGCCAATCCAAAACCCGGTAAAAATAAGAGGGTTTGGGCATGCGGGTCACTCACTCCAGAAAGCTAGTTGGCGGCCTATGATGCCTTAAGGAAGTAAACCATGTTAAATAACAAGAAATACAATGGCACCATTTAAATATTATTAACTTTGTTGAGGAGAGTATTTCTTGTTTACACTTTGAAACACAAGTGTAACAAATTATACTTGACATTAGAAATAAATCATATGACACAGTCAAATATACATCATCATATATGACACTTACGTTTGAGTTTCAGTTTTCAGTTTTCTCTTTTGTAACCAACGTTGACTGGCTGAAGCAGATTTTTTCACATCTGAACAAGCGCCCATACGTTTGATGCTACGTAGAACTGTTTCACATGGTTGTAAATAAGATAACAGTTCTTTGTACAATGTAAGTTTCTCTTCTTTACTCAACACTTTACCGCCTAGTTCATCACTTATTGATGTATCTTTCAGTTTATTTTGTTCTTGATATTTTTTAACTTCTAACCAATTAATATCTTCTAACCAATGATCACGAGTATCAATTTGCTTTATATCATAGGCAAACAAGCACAATCATTATGAATGATTTCTTTACTAACCTTTTTGAAAATAAAAGTGCCAGTCGAATCGAAATGTCCATCTTCTTCCAATTCTTCTTTCATGTTAAATGGTGTAATTTTAACTTCATCATCATATTCTAAAGTTGTGGCTTCTTGACCTTGTAGAATAATTATTACAGTAAACAAAACAATCCAATACCATCTAGATCTGTTTCATACAATCGAAAACAATCTTTATCGTTGTAATCTTCTTCATCGCTATCCAAAGATGGTTTTGATAATTTTAAAGGTTTCGATAACTCTTCACTAGTGATCTTATTTTTAGCTAGAAAGTTGAACAAATATGACATACCACACCTAAGCCAGAACGTTTCGACATGTGAATAACCAACTGAGTACGACTGTAATTTTAAAAAAAAAAGAATATCAACAAAAGTTCATCATCAATAGCAACGTAGAACTTTGCACGTACGTACAGCAGTGCAAGTTGCCATACCATATTATCACAGAGATATAAGTGTTGATTCAAATCTCATAGTAATAGAGGTAGTAAAAGTATTAGAAGTAATCGCAGGGATTAGAGTTCAAAGATGTCATTCAAGAAGTATAATTCAGTGAGATAACTTTAGAAAGATAGACCGTAGCTGCTACCTTGGCGTGGTGGTCGGGCTTGCCTATCGTGATGATCCAACCGAGCTATACTGGCTGCAACATATATTCCTGCAGGTCCTACCATGCCAGACAGGTCGATTGGAGAACGATCAGACTAAAAGCAGCTACTCAACGTCGGAGGGCGAAGTCGTACTGCTGACTGCAGAGGGGTGTGATGCCAGTAAGGTGTTTCCCTCGGACAACCAGCATCTGCAGTGATGCTGCTTTCTCACAAGGGAGGAAGGGTTAGAAAAGGTCGGCCCTAAAAATGTCACACCTCCCCTACCTCACGGATTTCCGTCTCCTTGAGTAAGGGTGCCCACTAAGGGCCTTTAAGAAGAGAGGTAATCCTCTAAATACATTTCATAAAAAGGCCGTGCGTGACCGGCCTCAAGCAGTTGTCCCTTGGACTCTGCGGTCACGCACCAACCCTAATCTATCTTCCTTTTCAGGTCCCTCAAGAAACAACCTTCCCCGGTGTGGGCAGCCGGGAAGTGACAACCGCCCTCATACCCATAACAGCACGCGAGACCAAATTGGTCAAAATCAAATCCTTTCTACACCCCCTAATGTCTCTCTTATTTATACGACTAACTCTACTCACACTCCCTTTTCTCTCTGCACCGCTAATGCAGACGAAGCGAGATCACGAAACGTCGTTCCTGGTCTCTTGAAACCCCGTTCTAGACTACACGTTGGAGCTTTTAATGTGCGGACATTGTGTCAAATAGGGCAACAGGCATCATTAGCTAGGACTTTAGAAACTCGTGCCATCGATGTATGCTGCGTCTCGGAAACGCGCATACAGGATCCTAGTAAAGTCATTAACCTGATTCCACCTTGTCAAAACGAGGAAGCAGCCCGATTCACTCTTCGTGTATCCGGTAGCCCTGATGCTGCTTCCCGGGGTCTTGCTGGCGTAGGCATTGCGTTGAGTCCTAGGGCAGAATTATCTCTCCTAGACTGGATCCCGGTAGATAGTCGTTTGTGCGCTGTCCGACTTAACGGGACAGTAAGGACTCGTAAGGATAGGGACACTCGCCGTTGCCTCTTCGTCATATCTGCCTATGCCCCCACTGACTGCAGTCCAGACGAGGTTAAAGATGAGTTTTACAGAAAGCTTTCGGACCTCCTCCAAAAAGCTAGTCGCTCTGATATAGTAATAATGGCTGGTGACTTTAATGCTCAAGTAGGTAGACTAGGTGAAAAGGAAAGACATCTTGGTGGATGTTATGGTGTAGCGACTGAGAGAACAGACAATGGCGACCGTCTGTTGCAACTATGCTCAGATAACCGCCTATTCTTAGCGAACACCAACTTTAGGCATAAAAAAAAGCATCTGTTGACCTGACGACCCCCGAAATCGTCTCAACGTTGGACTCACCTAGATCACATCGCCATCAGCCACCGATGGAGGGGTTCAATAGAAGACTGTCGCTCGTTCTGGGGCACATGTTTGGATTCAGATCATGCTCTAGTGCGAGCTCGTATCTGTTTGAGGCTTATTGGACGTAGGAAAGACACCGTAAGGAAGCCTCTTAGGGTTTTACTTAATCATAATCAAACCAAGAAAATATTTCAAGAGCAACTAGAAAGAGAGTTAAGCAACTATGCAAGCGATTCCCATCCAGAAGCAGGTTGGTATGATATCAAAAAGGCTGTGGAAACAGCAGTGATATCTGCTAGTAAGGTGAACCATAAGGCTAGAATGAAACCGTGGATATCAGTCGCATCCACCGAACTGATGGATGCTCGAAAACGCATCCCACCTGACTCTGAACATGATGAAGAGCGTAGTCAGCTTAGGCGCAGACTTATAAAAAGTCTGCGTAACGACCGCGAACAGTGGTGGGTGGCGAAAGCAAAAGCGATGGAAAAGGCAGCGGCGATCGGCAACAGTAGACAACTTTTCCGCCTTATTAAAGAAACTGGTATTAAGAACCCGAATGTCAGTGAGACTATCTCGGAAAAGGATGGTCTTATTATCCATTCTCAATCCAGGAGACTGGATCGATGGGCAGAACACTTTAGGGATCAGTTCAACTGGCCACGAGCCACTCTTCGGTTACCCACGATCTCCAGTCATCCTGAATGGCAAATCGACCTAAGTCCCCCTGGTCTTAATGACGTTGAGAAAGCGTTAGGAAGTCTGAAACGAGGACGAGCTGCAGGTCCTGAGACTGACCCCTGAGATATTTAAGGATGGTGGTCCAGTTTTAGCAGCTAGTTTGACTGAGATCTTAGGTAGAATCTGGGAACTGGACGCAATCCCATCCGACTGGTCTCAATCACTGATTGTCCCAATCTATAAGAAAGGACAAAAGTCTTCTCGTGACAATCACAGGGGAATAAGTCTAACTAATATAGTATCTAAAATATTGGCCTCAATAATACTTCGACGCTTAACGAAAGCTCGTGAAGAGCAGACTCGAGAAAACCAGGCCGGTTTTCGACCTGGACGTGGTTGTATAGACCACATTTTCACACTACGACAGGTCCTGGAACATAGACACACATTTAGACGTCCTACAATAGTTGTTTTCCTGGACCTTAAGGCGGCATTAGACTCTGTGGATCGTGAGGTTCTGTGGCAGTGTCTGTCATTGAAAGGTGTACCAAATAAGTACATTAACCTCATACAAGCTCTCTACTCAAACACCACTGGTCGAGTGAGAGCTTATGGCGAACTGTCAACGGAATTCTCTACATCAAGTGGTGTCCGTCAGGGATCTCCACTTTCTCCATTCTTGTTTAATTTTATCATAGACATGCTCCTAGAGTTAACATTATCCTCGTCTGAATTTTCTGGAGTAGACCTTCTACCAGGTGGCTCGCTTATTGACTTAGAATATGCCGATGACATTGTCCTACTTGGTGAAGATGCTGACAAAAAGCAATCTTCTAACTACCCTAAGCAACAATGCAAGCATGTTCGGGATGCGGTTTTCCCCCTCGAAATGCAAAATGTTGCTTCAAGAATGGGTTTCATCGGCACTTGAACTAGTGATAGGGAGTGAAGTAGTCGAGCGTGTAGACCGCTTCACTTATCTTGGGAGTCTCATCAGTGCCGATGTCCTGGTCACTGACGAAATCTCAGCTCGGATACAGAAGGCTCGATTGGCTTTTGCCAACCTGCGTCACTTATGGCGTAGGCGTGATATCCGTTCTCTAATCAAAGGACGAGTGTACTGTGCAGCAGTTTGCTCCGTTCTCCTATATGGCTGTGAAACATGGCCAGTGAGAGTAGAAGATATTCGTAGGTTACTGGTTTTCGATCATAGGTGTCTTCGAAGCATTGCTCGTATATCGTGGGACAACCGAGTAAGCAATGCTGTCGTTAGGAAACGAGTACTAGGCAAGGATGAGAGATCAATCGATGAAGTGGTGAAACTTCATAAGTTGAGGTGGTTGGGACATGTCTTGCGTATGCTGAACCACCGACTGCCTCGACGAACTTTGTTTTGTGGTGTAGGAATGGGTTGGAAGAAAGTTAGGGGCGGCCAGACCAAAACATGGCAGAAATCCATCAAGTCATTGACTAGTGGTCTGAGCTATGTCGGTAATTGTCGACTACCTGGTTGGGGTCCGCGAGATGATAATAATCGATGGTTAGAGACCTTGAATGACATGGCCCAAAATCGTTCGCAATGGCGCCAGTGCATTTATTCTTTGTGTTCTCTCAAATCCTAATCTTCTGGATTCTTCAACACCTCTAGTTTCAACTCTCTAAACTTTTCTCACTGAATCATACTTCTTGAATAGTATCTTCCAACCCTAACCTCTCCGATTACTTCTAATTCCCTTAATAACTCTTCTACTATTGGATTTGAATTGACAATTATATCTCTGTGCCGATGTGGTACGGCAACATGAACTGATGTACTTACGTACCAAGTTCTACGTTGCATCTGACTGATGAAGAATCTCACCTACACCAGGTGAGATCAAATTGATCATTTTACTCGGATCTTGTATGCGCGTTTCGGAGACGCAACATACATCGGTCACACGGGATTCCACAGTTCTAGCTAATAAAGCATGTTGCCCTATTCGGCATAGGATCCGAACATTAAAAGCTCCTATACGTAATTTAGTACGGGGTTTCAAGAGACCAGGAATAATGTTTCGTGAGCTCATACCGTTTGCTTCAGTGGCGTCAGGTGATAAGCGATCGAAAGAAGGGTTGGTCGAGGAGATAAAAGAGTTACTGAGAGGTGTAGAAAGGATTTGAATGTGACCAATTTGTTCTTGTGTGCTTTCATGGGCATGAAGGCGGATGTTACAACAAAAGTTAGAACATAATGTGCTCAGTTTGCGTGTGTGGAAGTTTTATAGTCTACAAAAACACAAGATCTGCTATAGATGAGGAATAGTTTGTTGCACAGCATATCGACCGCATTTCAATATGTAAATATCATAGAATCCTAAGGGAGAATACCTGATCTGCAACCAAATATTTTGAAGTTTACTATTCTTGAAGTACACCAATATGTTAAATAATTATGAGAAGCTGCTTTATCAATATAACTCTGCCAGTAGACCTTTCGCGGCTACTACCTGTCCCAAGCCCGGATAAGGGAGGAGTGTTGGGCATGGGGTTGGTGACCCCAACCCTTCTAAAACTAACTTGCCAAAAAAACGCTAACCAGAAAAAATAACTCAAACCATTTTAACTCTGCCATGGGAGTTGGAGGAAGAAATATGACGTCACGTGGTGAAAGACGAGTTCCCTCGGAAGTCACGAGGCCGATGCCTCTTCTGACAACCACAGCAACCATTCTTTTAGGTACATGGAACGTTCGAACATTGTGGGAGACTGAAAGACTATTTCAAGTTGCGGCAGAAATGAAAAGATACAACCTCGAGGTGCTCGGCTTCAGTGAAACGCATTGGACACAGGTAGGACAACTGAGACTAGCTTCAGAGGAACTGCTGTTATACTCTGGTCATGAAGAGGAAAATGCTTCACATACACAACGAGTTGCACTGATGTTGTCCAAACAAGCACAAAAGGCACTGATAGGATGGGAATTTCATGGACCCAGGATCATTAAGGCATCCTTCGAAACAAAGAAAGAGGACATTACAATGAACATCATCCAATGTTATGCACCTACCAATGACTACAATGACGACGTTAAAGATCAATTCTACGAAAGGCTGCAGTCAATCCTCGAGAAATGCTCACCAAAGGATTTGACCATTCTGATGGGAGACCTAAACGCCAAGGTTGGCATGGACAACACTGGATATGAAGACATCATGAGACAACATGGACTGGGAGAAAGGAACGAAAACAGTGAGAGATTTGAAAACCTATGTGCCTTCAACAAACTGATCATCGGTGGCACAATATTCACATACAAGCGCATACATAAAGCTACGTGGATTTCACCGGACCACACTAGTCAAAACCAAATTGACCATATATGTATCAACAAAACGTTCAGAA